CCCCGCTGCCTTCCCTCTTCCCCTCTCCCCCCCCCCCAGCAGCAGTGGCAGCGCTCTGGGAATCACAACGGATCTCCCAGCTACAGTGATCAATACACCTTAGGGCTCCCAGCTCCAAGTTGGGAAATTCCTGGAGATCTGGGGGTGGAGCTTTGGGACACAGAGGATTGGGGAGGCAAGCAGCTTCAGCAGGGTATAATGCCACAGACTCAACCCTCCAAAGCAGCCATTTTATCCAGGGAAACTGATCTCTGTCACCTGGCCAACAGTTGCAATTCAAGAACGGTAATACTTTTATTGCAGAGCTATAGAAGCAGTAACATAAGCACTGTTAAGAATGGCGGCGGTCCCATGGACATAATAGAATATAGGGATCCACCTCTCAAATGTCCAGGAATTTACCAGCCTGAAGCTGGCAACACAATTTCCTTCCCACCCAACAGCCAATCTACCTTTATCTGCCTCTCTGTCTTCAGCTGTCCGTCTCCACACTCCTCCCCCACAGCCTCTACCTAGGAAAATTATAGTCTTTCTCCACAGTGGGGACCAAAGCAGCTTACATTATTCTTGCCTCCTTTTTATCCGCACAACCACCCTGTGAGGTTGGTTAGGCTGAAAGTATGTGACTGGTCCAAAATCACCCACTCAGCTTCCACTGCAAGATGGGGATCTGAACCTGAGTCTTGCAGACCCTACTTTGAAGCTCTAACTGCTGCACCTCACTGGCTTTTGTAGGGTGGCTGCTGATGAACAGTAACAAGCAGCCAGGCCTAGTTGAGTCACGCAAATCAGGGGGGACCTGGCAACCTTAGACTACTGCCAGGCCTAGAGTTGCCAATCTCCAAGTTGGACCTGGAGACCCCCCAGAATTACAACCGGACTCTAGACAGCAGAGATCTGTCTCCCTGGAGAAAATGGCTGCTTTGGAGAAAGGCCAAAATAGAACTGGAAAGGGGCCCCCCCCCTCCTTTTACTAACAGAAACTGTTAAAAGCCCCCCCCCCCCAAACGTTCTAATCTTTCACCGTTGATGTCTGGAGTTAGATCCCTGCAGAGGCCATTTCAAAAGTTATTGGGGGAAATTCAACCCTCCCTGAAGGGTTTTTTTTACTTTTTGGATTTTTCTGCAGACTTAGGAAGGCCCATGACTGTGTAGGAAAAACTGTTGGGGGAGACTGAGCTCTCTGTTGGCAGAAATAGGTATTCATTTTTATAGAAACTTCTCCTAGCAGCCTGAATAGCTCTGACTAGCCTGATCTCAACTAGAGCTTGGAAGCTCTACAAGGTGGGCTACGGTTAGTAATCTGATGGGTGACCACTAAGGAACACTGGGGTTGCTGTGCAGAGGAAGGCAACGGCAAACCACCTCTGCTCATTTCTTGCCTTGAAACCCCTAGGGTCAGTAGAAGTCGATTGCAACTTGATGGCACGCAGTTATTATTGAAACGTCTATTCATCTATTTAAAACATTATAAATTTATGTTCGGTGTGGAGAAAGAGGATAGACAGAACTCTCCACCCCACCCCAACCACTCCACAGCCCTTCCCGTCCCCATACAATCAGACCATTTCATGGCAGGTTTTGAGACAATAGTAAAGAATGTTACTATGAACTCAGGGCATGCTCTCCAACACTGGAGAACTGAAAGCAAGGGCACTATTATTCCTTAATTAGTTACCAGGATGAGTCGCTATAAGGTCACCCAAAAGGCGGAGATCATTTATAACAGGAAAATGAGAATCTGTCAGGGAATACTTGCAGTCTCTCTTTGTAGAATATGAGGAGAACCAAGTCCATCATCCATGCAACCCTATTCTCGCATGCAGCCCTACCCTCTGAGACATTGGACATTCTTCTTTGTTTGCTTGCTGTGTACTGGACTTATTTTCTATGCAATGGTATTTCTTGTACTGACTTCTAAAGCAGTGGTGGTGTCAACAAACCGTACACACCAATTTCCTTCTTCTAAAGCTTAATTGCTTCTTTCCGTCACTGTTTTCTCAATAGAATAGAAGTTTAAATAATAATAGTGTGCCATCAAGTACTTATAAAGCTTTGGAGTACATTCCATTGTGTTTCCTGGGATTTATTCCCTAGTAAATATGTTTAGGATTACAGCCTTAATCTCACAATGGATAACTCAAACGTTTAGCAACATTTCCTGTCTCAGCATCAAACCACATATATATGGCGCTGGGGATGGATGCCCTAATATCGAAACACATAATTGAGCATCATGAGCGTATATGGAGGCAGAGAGACTATATGGATTAGAATTGTGGGGAAGGGGTTAATTGATTCCTTCCAACACTGTTCGCTCAACCCAAAGTGTCACCTCCTCCATGTTTTAAAACCTGAAACTTAACACATCCAGGAGTACTTGTTTCTAATCAGCACAGCAAGGGATCACATGAGGTTTGGTGCTCAGTGAGAACATATGGGGTGGAACTAGGGAAGGAGGAGGAGAAGGAGAAGCGTTTGGATTTATACCCCGCCCTTCACTGAGTCTCAGAGCAGCTTACAACCTCCTTTCCCTTCCCCTCCCCACAACAGATACCCTGTGAGGCAGGTGGGGCTGAGCGAGAACTGCTCTTGACAGAACAGCTCTGAGAGAACTGTGGCTTGCCCAAGGTCACCCAACAGCTGCATGTGGAGGAGTGAGGAATCAAACCCAGTTCTCTCAGATTAGAGTCTGTGCTCCTAACCACTACACCAAAAAGAGGTCACTCGAGTGCAAGCATGAACAGAGGTGTCACATAGGGATCAAGAAAGAGCCACAATTCACTCGTGGTTTTTTTTGTTATGCTTTGATGAAGTCATATCAATGCATATAAAGATTATTCCTTACGCATTCATACTCACATCCACTCAACAGGCAGGCTGTACTCTGTTCAGCAGTGCTGCAAAGACGGGAGACCCCCCCTGCGCGATGGCCTTTGGGCAATATGGCTGTGAAGCTGCTGCTGCTTTTTCTCCAAAGTTCTTGCTGTGGGAGCTCAGACTATTGTGTTTTCTGCAGTCAGCCCACAATTCAGTTCTTGCTTCTCAGTTCAGACTCACCACCCCCTCACTTTGGATGTTGCCCAATGCACCATTGACACACCCATGAGTATTGCACAAAATGACTTTGGATAGTTTACACTCATGCGTTTGGCAGATGTCCATACATCAGTGTTGGCCCTCACCAGATGCTCATGGATGTTCCTCAATCTCTTAGTGGCTCACTCTCCAGCAGCTTCATTTCCTTGTTTCCCACACATTCTTCAGTCTCTCTCTTGTTGACCTTAAACAACATCACTTTCCTTGAAATACCCAAGGCTATCTGAATGTAGTCCATTTTATTTAACATTTCATTCCTGATTTATCCCATGGCAGAAGAAGGTGGTTTTTGTAAAGTATTTCCGAAACTTTATCCAAAGAAAAAAAGATAGATACACAGACGGATACACCAGCCATTAAAAAAAAAAAACCAACAACACTTGGATTGGATTGGATCCAGCCAGTTTTTCCACTGGTAAAAATGGGATTGCTGGAAAGGCTGTACTGGAGATCATGCATGGACTGTTTTGTTTGTTGGTTCTGGTCCTATACTATTTGTGTTTATCGCCTGATTTCCACACAACTTTTTGTGCCTTTAAGTTTCACTTCTCCCCCCTCCCCCCGTTGAGGGGGGTTTCCATTTCTTTTGAGATCACTTTAACCCCAGTCTTTTTCTGGAAGCCAGTTTTGAGTCACCCTTTTCCTCATGTGTAATGTTTCTATTGGTTTCTTTGTCCCACTGACACAATGTACCTCTAGCCCACTCTTCAATCACTGGACTGTCATAATTGGCAAAGTACTCCCTCTCCTCCTCCCTACTCTTGATGTGGTTTCAGTTGTATTTTCGTAATATTGCTCTACTGCTAAAAATGATAGGTCAAGTAGGTTCTCTGAATTCCCAGGTTTCACTTTTTTAAAAGAGTAAGGCTCTAGCACCTTCCCAGGGCCGGCTCCAGGGTTTTTTGCACACTAGGAGAGCCTACCTTCTTTGCCCCCCCTCAATGCGCCCACCATTTTCAAACATAAATGCATTTTAGGAGATGATGATGATGATGATGATGATGATGATGATGAACATGAGCAATGGCTTTGGTTATGATGTGATATGCCAGGCTTACTTTCTCCCCTCCCCCACAAACATCAAACCCCAACAGCACACTGACTCCAATCTCACTTTAGTGCCAGTTCCTGTCCTCAAATTCACAGAGAAACCCAAACACTCTCATTTGGCAAATGCAAGCCAATGCCAGGACTCACACAGCTGAACCAGAGCTTCCGATTTCAGTACTGGAGCTAGGGATGCCAGCCTCCAGGTGGGACCTGGGGATCCATGGAATTACAGCTCATTTCCAGTTTACAGAGATCAGTTCCCTGAGGGAAAAAATGATGTTCTGGAGGGTGGACTCTATGGCATTGTGCCCCACTTAGGTCCCTGTCCTCTCCAGACTCCATTCCCAAATGTCCAGGAGTTTCCTAACCTGGACTGGGCCATCCCTCCCCTCATCCCCCAGAGGTGGCCAGGGGAAACCTGGCAACCCTAACTAGGGCTATTTTAGCAAGGGAAGGAGGGGAAAGGTGGAAAGAAAGCAAATAGATGGGGAGAGGGGGGTGGGGAGAGAAGGAAGGGGGGAAAGCTGGAAAAAACCCTAAAAGGAGAGAGAAGTGAAAGACAGAAAGAAGGGAAGGAAAGAAAGTCAGGCTGCAAGGGAAGCAGCCCGGAGTGGGGTGGAGCAGCTCCCCAGCCTCTCGTTTCCAGCTCTCACACACCTCAAGAGAAAGAGAGGGAGAAACAGAAAGAGAGGGACAGAGAGCGCAGCCACACCCACACCTACTGGAGAAAGTGAGCCCAGGATTTTCTGTATCCTGGAGCAATGTGCTCCCTGCAGCACAAGAGTTCCTGGGGCTCGCTTTCTCCTGGGTGGCTGGATGTCAGCAAGCTGCCATGTTTTGCTTGCTCCCTTCTCTGGGAAAAAACCTAATAGGTGGGGAGAGAGAAATGAAAGACAGAAAGAAGGGATGGAAAGAAAGAAAGTCAGGCTGCAAGGTAAGCAGCCTGGAGTGGGGTGGAGCAGCTCCCCAGCCTCTCGTTTCCAGCTCTCACACACCTCAACAGAAAGAGAGAGAGAAACAGAAAGAGAGAGAGGGACAGAGAGCGCACCCACACCCACACACCCACTGGAGAAAGTGAGCCCAGGGTTTTCTGTATCCTGGAGCAATGTGCTCCCTGCAGCACAAGAGTTCCTGGGGCTCGCTTTCTCCTGGGTGGCTGGGTGGGTGCAGCCCTGGGCTTCCTCCCACCCTACCCCACCTGAAACAAGCCCCCGCTCCTTACACCCCGACCAACTTACCCTTCTGGCTGATGGCGGGAGAAGCAGCACGTGCTACCTCCACCTCCTCCAAGCCTGACTGAGGGCTGCTGGGAGCTGGAGGCGGGGCTTAGGGTAGTGTTTAGGCCCCCTGGCTGCGGAGCTATTTCCTAAAAATATCAAACTGGTAATTTTCTTCCATGGATTTTTCTGCAAACTTGGCCTGGTAAAAAAAAAAAAAAATCTCCTGTGTGTACCTGGCCCTGTGTTGCTTTCCTGTCTGCCTGGACTTTATTTTAACACGGGGCGGGGTGGGGACACTTGTTTTACCTTCGCTTCCTAGGGGAAATCGGAGGGTTTCTGCCATCACCACCCCCGCAAGTAGTAAGAGGTGGGGGGAAGATGAGAAACTTTCTGTGGTTTGGGAAAGGGGAGCAGACGGATGTGGTGACTCCCTTCGGTCAGCCGTCTCTGCTGCGCCCCTCCACTTCCTTCCACAGTTCTCTGAGCGATTTTCTTCTCCTTGGGGGAAGCTTTCCAAGTCTCCTTTCACCCCTATTTGCTGGAGACCCCCGACCTCTCCCCCCAGCACTGCAGGGAAGCCTCTCCCTGGTCCCTGCCAGTCCCCTGGAGAGCAGCGGGAAGAGTCTCTCTTCCTCTCTCCGAGGCGCCTGCAAATGCCAGCCAAAGGCGGCGTCTCCCCACCAAGCTCTGCCTTCCACCTTTTTCTAGCAACTGTTGATGACCAGGCTGTCCATTCTGCGCCAACAGAAAATCAATTTGCAGGAAGGGAAATGTCGCGGCTTTGGGAAGCAGGAAAACGAAACTAACGCTCTCTCCCCCAATTCCCCTCCTCCGAGAGCAGGGGGGCTGTTGGTGGGGGGGCGGGTGCCAGTTTGGCGCCCCCAAGGGCCGGTCCACTCTAGGCGAGTGCCTAGTTCGCCTAGTGAGCGAGCCGGCCCCTGTTCCCTTGTGGAGATATGCCTTTTTCCTTAAATCTCCACAACAGAAGGAGCTAGAGACTTTTAAAAGAATGTAATCTGGGGCTTCAGAGAACCTCTTGACCTGTCATTACAGTAGTATATTGACATAGCGATAAAAAAATGCAGCCATGATATCTATTTAAGTATGTGCAAAGGGATGCTGCTGTGATGCCACCAATGATGCCACCAATGAAAACATTACCATCCCTTTAAAACCCTGGTTATTTAAGGCACATGCGGAAGAAAACAAACTGACTCCACAACTGCACGAGGGCAGACATGCGGAAGAACCAAGCCCAAACCAATTCCATGGCTTGTGGGTCAGTTGCCAAGAAAATCAGGAGTTAGTAAAGCATGTGGAAAAGCCCCCAGAGTCTTCATAGAAAAGGCCTCTAAGCAGTTTAACTGTTGTGATCTAGAACCAAATATAAACATGTTCATTAGAAACAGCCAGTGCTGTTTTGACCTAAAAGGTGTGGCAGAATTTTTGGCTTCATCAGCATCTTGCCGGGAAAGAAGTAAAAAGTTTTCCAGGCAGTTTTATTTATTTATTTATTTGATTGGATTTCTATCCTGCCCTCCCCTGCACAGCACAGGGCAAGTTACAACAGACAATTATGAGACAATTAAAAATTAAAACATAATTCCACAATGTTAGAACCTATCCAGAAGGTGACACAACTCACAAGATGGTGATCAGGCACAGTTAACAAGTGGTCCCAAAATACTGTTTGTATGTGTGCTGAAGAGGAGGAGGAGATTGGATTTATACCCCACCCTTCACTACCTGAAGGAGTCTCAAAGTGGCTTACAGTCTCCTTTCCCTTCCTCTCCCCACAACAAACACCCTGTGAGGTAGGTGGGGCTGAGAGAGCTCTTTCAAGAATTGCCTGTGAGAGAACAGCTCTGAAAGAACTTGTGGCTGACCCAAGGTCACACCAGCAGCTGCAGGTGGAGGAGTGGGGAATCGAACCCGGTTCTCCCAGATTAGAGTCCATGCAAGTACTGGGTAAGTGGGCAAAACCACCACCAGTAGTACAACATAAATAGTGCAAGGCAGGGTAGAGCAAGGAGGCCGATGTAATTAAGGCTCTAATCTGGGAGAGCCGGGTTTGATTCCCCACTCCTCCCCATGCTCCGAAAATTGTCCACTGTTGTCAGGGTCCACAGCAAAACAATGAAGTACACGCTTCCAGGTAGGTTTTACTGTTATTGAAAAGCCATAGATGCAATAACACGAATACTGTTAGGAATGGCGGACTACCTATGCACATAATAGGATATAGGGCATTCGTATGCGCCCCCCCCCCCCAGCAATACCCAATTAGATGGGCTCCCGCGCGCGGGCAACTGCAAAAGTTTCTAACGGTAGCGAAGCTGGGAAATAGAACGATCCCACGAAAGGTAGACACCACAACTCCTCCAGTCATTCTTTACAGATAAGCGTTGCAGCTGTGAAGCAATTAAGTGCATGTGAAGGAATGTATAACAATTAGAAAGCCTCATGGCAGCTTAGCTGACAGTAGGTCCCACAGGGCCCTGATCTCACTTGGGAGAGTGTTCCACCAGGCTGGAGCCAGAGCCAAAAAGGCTCTGGTTCTGATCAAGGCTAAGTGAATGTCTTTTGGGCTGGGGATCACCAGCAGATGTTGATCTGACAA